GATAAGAGTATTTAAAAATTTATCATTTAAAATCTTATTTCTTGAAAGTCCAAGAAAATCATTAGATGAAAAATCGACTGATGAAGGCGACGCAACCACTAGAGAACGACAGAGGTCACGTTTTATTCTTCTTTCTAATATACTTTCTAATTGTTCTTTCAATGGCATTGAGAAAGATCTTTTGAATGGTACTGAAAATCGGATTCCTTTTTATTTGCGATAGATGATCTATCGTGGGACAAATGACAATGATTAAATTTACTTTCATAATACAGATCGTGTAACTACAATTGCCCTTTAAACGTTACTGTAGTCTAATATTGAAATTAAATTAACTTTTCCAATTCAAGCTGGACATACACTGCAAATTGTAAGTTTGCATTGAATTATCGTTATTGACTATTTTTTTTCAAATTTATATCACATTATCTAAATACGACTCTAACGCTAAATGCAACGCCTTTTTTTAAATACAACGTCTGGTCATATCGATATAATGATTTTATAAATAATAGGTATAAATAATAGGTGTTTTTTTTATTTTGCAATCTCTATTTTTTTTGATCCATACAAACATTATTAGGTAAGTGTAGGTAACTTGGCGGGTCCTACTAAATCGGTACCATTCAATTCATCACGCTAAGACGAATCGAATGATACGTATGAAAATAGTCAATGTTGGAATAGTGGCGTGCTATTTAAACACTGTGACTTCTTAAATTTATATCAATAAAATAATGAATGCCGAAACTGTAAATTTCATTATCTGACTATCTAATTGGAATGAAATATACGGGGTTAAGCTCAAGCAATCTCATTGCACAATTAATTTAAAATTTTTGAATCTTGACCATTTATATCACATACCATTTGACTTGTGTTATTAAAATATCAGTATTTAAGTTTATTTAAAAACATACCGATACTACAGCGTAGATGGATTTTTTATTGTATAAATAAATATATATAGTTTTAAATAAAGTATGCAATCAATTTGTATTACATACAATATTAATGCCCGGACTTATATTGGTTTCCGGTTTCAGGTGAGACCGTCCCGAATTAGGCAATTATTCCGATATGGTTACACAAGTATTAAAGAAAATTTTTTATACGTTTTACAATACTTTTTTGGGGAGTTCGGGTAACCTAACCCTTCTAAGAAACGTGAGCAAGTGCACTAAGCAAACTTGAAGCCTTCGTACCATACTATAACATATTTTCTTAATCCCTCTTAATCCCACTGCTTTCGTGCTCAATATGTCTGACAAAACCAAGTCTAAAAGCAAGCAATGTGAAGAATGCGGAGCCACTAAATCACTGAAATTTCGTTCATTAAAGAATGAAAAATGGAGTCAGGCTGAAAGAAGTGGCTTGGTAAAGGTAACGTGGAAAGATGGTATTCTTTTATGTCACAAATGTTATATGGATTTAGTAGAAAATCTGTTACAAAAGTTAAAAAAAGGTACTAAATGAGTAAGAGTTATAGTTGAAGAAATAGAAAACAAAACAGAAACTACAAGAGAAGTGGAAGAACTTCAAGCTGAAGAAGAGGTTGTAATTAGAGAGGAAATTGAAGCTATAATTAGGAAAAACATAATGGGTGAAGAATTAAAAAGTATTAATGAAGAGGATATAAATATTACTACTGAGAAAAAAGACAAAGCCATTGGCAAGGAAGAAATACGTATGATTAACCTTGTTGAAGTTGTCAAGGTGATGGCAAAAATTTTTTATGAGAGAGAACATGTGCAAAAGGAAGGGCTCATATATTCTTTCGATGAAATGCGAGAATTACTCTCAGAAATCGACCCAAGCTTGAAGAATTTTTTTAACCAGCTTTATTTGTTAGCCTGGCCGTTTGAGCATTGTGAGAAAGAGTCGGGCATATGAAAAAAATAATAGTGTTTTTATGCTATCTTCTTGCGTCGTTAAATAATTCTAAAATTAACTTTTTTAAGTTCGATTTAGCATATTATTTAGATTTCATAAGTACAAGCAATGAAGGTTTGAACACATTGGCCAATATTGAAATAACTACAACTGCAAGAGCAGTTGATCGTAAAAAGAAACAAATTTCAGAGGCATATAGAGAATATGTAGAGAAAGCTCTTGAAAATCATTCTAAAAATGCTTTCATGTTGAATATTGATGATTATCATAATATTCACATTCTACGACAACCTGATACTACTAGTACATCTTGGGCAGCATACATGGCAACTATTATTGCGAATCCAAACCCATATCAGCTATACTGCATAACAGAGCACTCAACCCAAAAGTAGTTGATGATGAGTTAATTAAGAAGCATCTCGACGAACGATTTATCGTAAATCTTGGAGTTTCTTACTATGATCATAGACAAAAATATATAGGTGAGTGTTCTGATAATAAGTTTATGAAAAGACTAATACTGCATAGTTACAATGACAGATTGGAAGAGAAAAAGAAGAGCAACAGACATATACAGAATGCCATTCTTTTCGATTTTGTCGAAAGCACTTTGAAGGATGTTGAAGATTATACGAAAGTGCTTCAAATCGTGTATAATCAAAAGCCAATGCAAGAATATCTTTCTAATAACGTAATTTCAATTGTTGCAGACTGGCCCGGGCAGTTCTTTATTCGCAAAGCTATTGTACATCGGCTTCTTCTTAATAACGAAATAATCCCTTCGTGTGTTACAGCATTTGTACCTATGATGGGCCCTCTTCACATTTCTTTAAACAGTCGTAAGCTTGTTTTTAAGAAGAATTGGTTTTTATTTAATGAAGTCTATAAAGGTATTTTCAGGCAAAAAAAAGAACTTGGTAAGAAGCCACAGCTATGGCGAATTGATTTAATACTTCACGTTATGCACATGGTGTGGCTTGATATATCTGATATGGTTTATTTAAAATTCAGTCATACTTGTAAGAATATTGAATTTTTATATTTAACCAATCTTTTGAGTAATTTAATCTCTTTAGTTCTTGAAGTTTACACGATACACCATCGAGAGGGTAACTGGCTAGCTTATGAAGAGGCTTGTTTTCGATGCTGGAGTGATCTTTTTCTTCAATTCGACCGAAAGAATTATAAACATGCTTCTTTAATATTTTTCTGATATTTTTTACTGGATAGAAACAAATCATCCTATGATTGATATGGTTACTAATAATCTTTCTTCTTTAAATGATTGTCCCGTAGAGCTTGTCTACAGTATAATTCGATGACGTACAGCTAAGTTTTCTGAGATGAATCAATTGCAAAAGGAGGCACGCTTTATTTTTCAGCACCGGGGAGACAATGCTTTTTGACAATATTTCATGAATTCAATAAAATATCCATATTCTCCCAAGCAATTGCATACGCTTTATCGAAAGTATGCTATATTATTTCTGAATATGTTTAAGAAAATATATCGAGGATGCCATCTATATTCTTCAATCATCAGTTCGTCAAACAATATTAACACTTATAATTTGTCTTCTTTAGGTTATGAAATAACAGATCATTACTTACCAAGAGGTTTCATTACATCTAGAAAGTCTTTTATAACCGTCTTATGCGATTACTTGCATTGCGACCACACCAGTTATACTAACTACTCAGATAGTAGAAAAGTTCTCGCATGTGGACATGGTTATCACGATTGTTGTTTAGAAAAATATAATTTTAAGTATTTAATTTGTCTTGATTATCTTCAGGCTGAAGTTTCAAGAAATATTAATGCTTTAAGGGTAAGTATGAAGAAAAAGTTGGGTGAAAATGAATTTATAGAAGAAGATTTTGAAGGCATAATTGAGGATAGTTTGGATAATACTGAAATAGCAATCGATGATACAGTAACAATAGAGAATTTAGAAAATGCCAAAAAATCTTTTTTAGAGTTGTAATGTTTTTTTTTTTTATTTTTTTTTTTATTAAAAAAAAATTGTGTAATTATTTTTTATTAAATAAAGTATCGAAAAAAACTATCGCGATATTACCAATACTGATATATTAAATATTAAATTGCTATAACGTGCCCGAAATTTAATATATTAATATGATATTAGGTCGGGGATATAGTATAGTAAACATATAAAAAAAATTTTTTATCAGTTGTGTAACGATCGGGTGACTCAGGTAAATATTTCCATATTTGGGACGGTCTCACCTGTATTCTAAAGCCAGGTAGTAATTTATATACCACACATGACTTTTATTTTACAAATTTATTATTATGATAATACAGTAACGGCCTAAAAGTTTTTATTTTACTAGATCAAAAATACCTCGCAATCCAACGGTCAGAATTCGATGATTCGTATCATCGAGACGAATCTGATGGTATAAAAATATTCGATGATTCATATACCATTCGATTCGATTCGTCTCATCGAGACGAATCATCAAATTCAGCACACTGAACCATGAGATATTAACGATTATATCATCCATTATTTCACTTACACTTGTCTTAATAAAAATTTCATTATTTGCACACACGTATTGTTTCTATTTAATAAATTCAATAAACGTATTCTTATAATGGTTTTTATTTTTTATTTTGTATCAAGATTTCAGTAGCTAAAATTAATAAAACTTGACTTATAAATTGATATTTCAGTTATAATATAATATTAAATTTAAAGAATATAAAAATTATTTACTTATCTTTTTACTCTTTTCTGATAAAAACTGTTTAGGCCGTCTTTCTTCTCCTAGAAATTACTAGCACCTTGCACGTACTTTGCTACGTGATACATATTCATGTAACATTAACAGGGCATGTGTCTAAGTAGCAGCCAAACAAACGGCTAAATGTTGACATGCAGATAGACACACGTCTTTTAGTAATATAGATTGGATCTTAGTTACACATTGTTTTAGCACCCAAATACCTTCGTTTGCATGAACTATGAACCATACCTTCAAATTCTTATAGGTAGAATTTGTCTCTTATAAACCTTCTTAAATATTAGGATTATTTTTGATTAAGTTAACGGAAAATATGTATAATATCATATTTAATTGATAGGTTTTTAAAAATCACGAGAATTAAAAGTACTTTAAAGCGTATAAAAAATTTTTTTTTTTTTATTAAATTGATGTCGATCATCACCAAATATAGGTTTGTCCACATGCTCATTCAAATCTGATATGTATTGTTTTCACGTTCAGGAACAAGCACATATAAAAAACACGACCAGGGCAGGGTCAAAATTTTCATAGCGATAGCTCTATGGATCCAAT